CAAATTGAGTATACAAGCGTGGAACAATATCTGTATAGGCATTTTAATAAAATCAAAGCAAACAATGTAGGTTATATTCAAAATGGATAATAATATTATTTCATTGTGAGAATATATTGGATTATTTAGATTACTATATTTTATATGATTTCATATCATTGACTATTAGTGATATAGTTAATCAAGTCTATCAAGGATAAATATCTATCTCATTTTTTAACTTCTATTCCAGGTCTATTTGCCCGTCCGGAGTAATTTTGAAAATTCCATAATTACATTTTTAAAATGTTTTTAAAATAAATATTTAATTAGTGATTTCTTCCCTRAGTGTTTTTTTAACACTTCTTTTATACTTATCTCATTCTAATTTAATTTTGGATTCGCTTAGTATCTAAAACTTGAAATTCTTTTATTAGTTTTTTAAACTTTAAATTGTAATTGTGTGTAATTCTTACTAATTCTTAGTTAAATGATGATTTAGCGGGTATGTTAGACAAAAAAAAAAAAAGTAATTGATTCGTACAAATTATCAAATACCCCCCTGTTTTTATGGACTATATAATAATATTTTATTCCTAGTATATTAGTTTAAGCCACAAGAGAGAGATTGAAATAAGAAGAAACGAGAAAGAAATTTATGGATGGTAACACATTTTGAAACCAATCCTCGAGATCATACTCAGATTGAACAAAACTGACAAAAAAAAAAGAGGTTATTTTCTTTTGGAAAGTTAAACTCATAAAAGTTATTGGTTGAGTTTTTACCTTTCCCATTTTTAAGAGCAAGCCAACAAAATCGATAGTGGGTTGTTTTTGTTACTTTTCTTTTGGTCTTATGAAATATTTACAAAAGAAAGAAAGCTACCCCACCTGAACAAGATAATAGTTGCTATGGTCAACGGTCAACCCTCTTATTGGAGGGGTTGTGGAGACAGACATTGAGGAGCAGCTCCAACTCCTCCAAATTGCTTTCAATGGACCGATTCATAGTTTTGAAAGATAATATAATATGTCAGCCTAATTAAAACAATTTAGAGTTTCATACTTCAATTATTAGTCCAACCAATTAGTTGTATAAGTTTTAGGTGATCGGTGTTGAGTTATACTCATCATAATCACGAAATTATTGAAAGATTACTTTATTGCTTTTTTTTCTTTCTTAATACCCAATTAATTTGTATCATATTATTTTTAGTTTAGAAATGCGAAACTCTGGCCTCTTTTCAAAACTTATATCCTTAGTGAAGAATAGTAATCTCTGTGTCAATGGAAAATTTTGATTTTTTTTAATAACATGAAATTATAAACAATACAGATAATACGTTTTCTTATCTTCTTTAGTACAAATGTAAACTAATTTAGTATCTCAAGAACCTTCTTTTTAAACTATTTGTCAATCTTTGAAATTAATTTATGAATGATGTGGAAGGAGATTAGTAGATGCAGCTGATAAAATGGTTAATTTGTTCATAAATTAGATTAGGGACCAATAGTTAGATACCACATCATTTTTCTTGTTTTAGTTCAATGTCATGTCAACTCAATAGTGAATAATTGTGTACATGGCTTCTTGAATTGGGCATGGAAGTAGGATTCCATAATAGACTATACACTAAATTGTTGAATATAATCTAAGGATGGAAATAAAAGCATATGGAGTCCCACAAAGTTTTTGGCATATTGTGTTTGAATTATGTTAAAAATTTCTTTGAGGTACTGCCATTTATAAAAGGAAAGTAGGACTATAGGACACTAGAGTAATACAAATCATTTTAGCTTCCCTTTCAAATCAGGTAGTTCTTTTACCTTTTTTTTTTTTTTTTGCCTTATTATTAAGGGAATCTTATATGGTAAATTCATTTTAATCTAATACAATGAAACAATAATAATTCAAAGCTACTTCAGGGTTATATTACAAATTTAATCTTTACATTTTGATGAATGTACCTATTTAATCTATATAACACTATTTAAAAAATTTTAATTACGGGTCCGTTTGATAGCTGTTTCGTTTTTTGTTTTTAGTTTCTAAATAATAGGATTGTTTGATAACTAATCCAATTTTCTCATTTTGAAATTCTATGTAAATTTAAATATATATATAGTTTTTAAAAACAAGTTTTTGTTTTTCAAAATCTCATTTTTTCTTCTACTACTCTTTTTTTTTCTTTCTCATATTCATCTCTAAAAAATTTATTTTCACTCTATTTTTTTATTTTCAAATTTATCTCTACAAACTTTATTTTTCTCTCTCTAAAATTTTCATATTTTGAATATTTATTGTTGTTTGTTTTTCTCCAAATTTTTCTGTATTTTTTTTTCTAACAGACCAGTTTCATTTCTCTCTCTAAAAATTTAATATTTTTTCTAACTTTTTTCTCTCTAAAATTTCATATTTTATAACTTTTATTTTTCTTCTTCATCTATTTTTTCCTCTAAAAATTATATTTATTTTCTCATTCAATTTTCTTCCACTGTAATTTTTCTTTGTTTATAATTTCCTTTTTTTCTTTAACATATATTTTCTTCTTGACTTTATTTTTTCTCCAAAATTTTTCTCTTTGTCTTTAACTTTTTTTTCACTATTTTTTTTCTAAATATTTTTATTTATGTCTCTAAAATTTATCTTCCAAAGTTTATTTACATCTCTACTTTCATGTCTCTACATTAGGGGAAGACAAAAATTTTCACAGTGTAGGGTCCCAAAATTGAAAATGCATGTCCCGACCCCGTCCCCGTCCTTGATTAATATATATTTATTACTCTTTTTTTATACTTGAATTCTAAAAATAATTAAAAACAATTATAAAACAGATAATTTTTCTCGAGAACATCTTTCGGACCCAAGAACGAGGTGGGGATGGAGACTAAAAATTTTTACAAGCCCGAAAATGGGGGAGAGCATCCTCACATGCACCCACATCATTGTCATCTCTACTCTGCATAAAATTTTCTGTCTGTAATATGTATTTTCAATTTTTTAACTTTTTAAAAACAAAAAACTAAAAATGGTTATCAAAACATGTCTCGAACAAAAAAACAATTTTTAATCATAATACATCCTTATTCTCAAAGTTATTACTATCTTGACGTGACTTTAACTAACAAGGAATGATTTGATATAACATGGCACAAGAAAGTACATGAATTTTTCTTTTTTTAAAAAAAAATTTCTATTAGTAAAATTGGTGAGGCAGGTAAGCAAAATACATTTGAAAACGACTTTTGTAAAATGCCGAGTATATATATATATAGTATGTGGGTGCCACGTCAATGTATAAGATACAAATTAACTACAAAAGTTTATAAAAATTAAAATTAAAATAATTCATGAACCTAATTGAAATATTAAAAAAAATTTTGAAAAGGAAATATTTTAAAATTTAAAGATTAAATAGTCGTAATTATAGTAAATTTGAATGACAATTCATAATTGAATCATACTCACATGTGCTCCTTATCCAGCCATGAAAATCATATCAAGGCAAAGAAACAGCTTACCCATCAAGTCAATGCAGATTCACCGACGGGAGGGAATAAAATTTTTCAAAAATAATTGATATCAGTTACAACCGGGAAAATTAGGGAATATATAATACCATTTTGGTACATGGATTTCTTTTGTTTTGATTCCATTTTTAGTCCTGCATTTCAAAACATATATTTATATGGTTTTGAAAAGCAACTATTATAGTTCATTTTATTCTTTTTATCATAATTTTTACTGACGCTTCTCACTCAACAATTATCGTAGTATATAAAATTTGTGTTAGAGTTTTGCAATGGATCGAAATAGGGATGACAACGGGACGGGGCGGAGCTGGGGAGGGCCATCCCCATCCCAGCCCCGTCGGGGATTTTTTCCCCATCCACGCCCCCGTCCCGAAATTTTGGGGGCGGGATTCCCCGTTAAAATATATATATATATCTATTTTTTATAAATTTTTATTTTATTTTTAAAATTTTTAATTAATTTTTTATTAAACGGGGTGTGGATGGGGGAATCCTCGCCCGTCTCCGTCGGGGACCTCAATTAGAATCATCGGCTTGAACCTGTCCCCAGTCAAATCGGGGATTCCTCGACCCGGTTGGGTCTTGCGGAGATCGGGTCTGATGAATTTTTTTGCCATCCCTAGATCGAAATAGTCAATTTTTATAAGTATAGCAATCGAAACAGAAATTTTAAAGTACCAAAATTAAAATTAACAAAAGTTGAGAGTAAAAAACTAAAAGTATACCTTTTAAGAGTATATGGATCAAAATGAACCAAATTAAAAATAATTGGTATATATCTGAAAAGTACCAGTATCAAAATAGTATTTAAACTTCAAAAAATAATAAAAAAATGAGGACAGTTTCGTTGCAATTTTAGGACCTTTTATGTAACTTTACATTTTAGCTTGTTCTAGCAAAAATGATAGCCTTTTACCTTTCAAACGAAGAGCAAGAAGATATTGGAATCTTGTTGAAATCCCTAGAGTAGGAAAAATGGGATCTCTTCTGCTTTTCAAGTTTTTTCCTTTAGAAAGATACACGGTAGAGAAATCTAAACTTAGGATATACATTTTATTGTTAGGGATTCCATATTAAAGAGACCAAGGGATTTAATAATATTTATAAATACATATATGAACTCCTTTCCTTTTCTCATTACCTATTGATTTTGAAATAAAATCATACTTAAACTTTGTCATCAAATTATGAGTAAGTACTAAAACTCAACGCTTTCGTCGAAGCGAGCATAGCTCAACGGTAATTGACATATATCTCCAATCAAGAGATTGTGAGTTTAATCTCCCACCCCACATGTTGTACTAAAAAAAAATTAAACACTTTCAATGAAACTCATAATTAAGAAAACTCAATCTTCTAACTCTCACCCAAACACGATATTGAGATTAAAATTTAGACTTGTGTCATTTTCCTTATTTGCAGTTTAACACAATGTTAAAATACTGTGAGAATGTTCAACAACATCTACCGCAGTTACCTGAATGAGATTTCAGAGCATGGGGGTGTGATTACTTATACAATAACATCTAGAAGTTGCACATCAAGTATCAGAATATGAGTGACAAACAACAATGGAAACTTGATTGTAGAAATTAAAGAACGAAAGTTATTTGTGTTGGTTGGATTCAAAGTTTTGTTATTCCTTTACTGGTATTCTTACCTACATCAGCTGCAGCGTTAGCAGCACGGCTCAACATATCCGAAACCCACAACGCTCCCTTCGAAAAGTAGCTACTGTTTACCATGGCGTTACCTGCTGCCATTGCTGCTTTCCCTGTCATCGTAACAGCCACCACGGCCGCTGTTCCAGTAACAGCTGCAGCGGATCTAGTGATATCAGAGACGTGAAACTTCTCGTCGATGTACTTAACAGTTTCCATGCCAGCATGAATCTTCTCAGTGAGGCCAATTCTGTTGCTGAGCTCAGAAACTTTGGCCGCTGCAGTAGCTGAGACTTGACAAGAATCATCAAAAGCTTTAGCCTTCACAAGGGCATCTTTGGTCAAAACATATCCCTTTGATAGCATTGTTTTGACAACTTGTTGAGCCATAGTTACAGCCTCTCCAGGTGTGTAAACAGAGTGCATTATTTGTGTCACCTGGTTTTTCATAAGAAAACTCAAACCAAGCAACATGTTAGTGAGCAGCCATGGATGAGCTATGGTGGCTCAACGTCGTTAATGATTAAGCATCTATCTATTTTGTGCTTACCATTAAACTTGTATTGTCATCGGTTGTTCGTGAAGGACTGTTCGAAGTGTCGGATTCATCTATATACGTTCCCCACCGGGATATGAACACACATTGATCTAGAATTTCAGCTCCCTGAAACACCAAAATCAGCAAATGAACTACAATATGAAAGCTCAGAAATGGTGCTTGAAGATGATTATTTCGGACGGTTATGTGAAACTTGAAAGGTTTCTTTGAAATCTGTAAAAATTTAACTAAATCATAACGTTGTTTCCGACTTCCCCAAACCAAATAAGATGTCCGCAGCTTTGGAATGCTCGAAAGTACAAATTAGTAAAATGATTCAAATGATATTCCCACAAATTGTTGCAAATTTAAGTAATTTTGCACATCAAGTTACTCAACTCTAAGCTAGTGGTGGAGAAACTCAAATGTGCTGAAAAAGAAAGTAACAAATAGACATTTACACAACTCCCTTGGAAAGCAAAAGAGAGAGAAACTGATAGTAGTTAAAACTGAAATCTTGAGGCCTTTTTTTTTTACTACCGAGAAGTTGGCGGTCCTTTGACCTTTTTGCCCACATACCTAGGGGTATGAAATCTTGAGGTCTTATGGTTCATTCAAAAAATTCACAATCATCTCTAACCATGAGGGTCACTCGAGAAATGTACGGCTAATGACTCCGAATGACAATCTATACAAATGGTTACTTGTCCTCCTCCTCCACTCATCCAAAAGAGCGTATCAGTGTATTTGTACGTATACATACATCGAAACAGAGCAGAACTGATGGGGTTATACTCTACACTAATCTATGAAGAACGAAGTATAAAAGATCTCAGAAGATTCTCAAGGGAAGCAAAATCAAATAATCTTCAAGAACTTACACTAAGCAAAATAGCAGTTTCCAGAGCAAAAGCATCTCGGAAGGTCACATATGCAGTACACGCATACTCGCCCGATCTGTTTTCGCAAAAGAGAAAATGTTTTCAAGTAGCTTGGGTTACTGCTAATTGAAAATTGAATCATACTGAAAAACTAATGTAGACTTCAGAGACAGACTCATTTTACTACTCCATCACAATAGCAACATAAAATTCAGACCTTGCAAGTTATTTCTTGATTCTTGAAGCTTCAATTAGTTTCTATGTAACATCTCATACTTAAGTGAAAATTCAGAAGAAAACAAAAGATCTAGGTTAAATTATAAGTTTGATCCCCAAACTTCGGACTCTGAACTTCTAGTGTTGCAAATGAAATTTAAGCAATTTTCAGTCACAATGTGGATGAGCACAAGTTTAATGGTAATAACTTCATGATTTACAAAATTGTAACAAGCCATCAAGAACAGAGGAGTTATACGTTTTATTCACCTGAGGATTTCAACATGCTCGACCGCGCCACAGTGAGAGAAAAAGTCGTAAACATCCTGCTCTGTGGCTTTAGGTGACAAGCTTGTAACTTCAGCAGTATAACCACCAGGGTACATAGTTCCACAGTTTTATCTGCAGAAAATTGGATTGAAGTAAATACCTGTGAAGATTTGATACAAGATACAATCTTTCACCAGCTTATTTAGACAAAGGTTCTATACTTGACATTCATAAAGATCGGCCTTTTTCTCTTTTCTTTTGAGCACATTCCATTCCACCACCCAAAAAGAATGGTCCATTGCATATTGATGATAAGTATTATCAACTTGGTATATGATGATTCTTGACTTCCATAATAATCATTAATGATAAGTATTATCAACTTGGTATATGATGATTCTTGACTTCCAAAATAATCATTAATGGTCCAAAGTTATAATTTACATATTGCAGGCTCATCCCAAAAGTGTGAAAGCTTTGCAGAAGTGTAGCTTCTAACTCAAGGGAACTTGCACCATAACATCTCCCACAGAGAATTCTTATCTTATATTCATTTATAAAACTAACCCTATTGGCGTTTTTAAGTTAATTTAGTCTCATGGCTATAAATTCGTACAAGACAGTGACTAAGCAGCCATATTTTGAAACTGAATCAACTCCAATGTCCCTGCTTAGATCTAGAGAGAGAGAAAAGGAGAGAATATGAACTTTGGGAAAAAGTGAAAAATGGGAATTGGGAGATTCTCAGAATATTTGAGAAGAACCCAAATTCCACATTCATATTCACAACACTTCCCCAATTCTAGAATGAAAAATCTCAAGAAATTTTCTGGTTCTATTAGCTACCCAGAAAATGATTTGAGCCCCAGATCTTGAAATGGAAACCTTAAACAACAAAGATAACAAGACATGTAACAGGAAATAAGAGTGTCCCCAAATGAAAACATGGAACAAAAAGATAAGATTGGGGTGAAATCAAACACAAGAAACAACATCGCAAATGAAATTTTTTTTGTGAAGCAGATGAAATTGATGGCTGAGGCGTACCTGATGAAGCAGCGAGAGGGGGGGCTGAGCTGAAACCTGCAAACTAAGCCGACATTTTTTTGTTTTGCCGTCAGTTAGGTGATGTTACGGAACCTTGTGGGCGACTGATTCCACTCGCTTAAGGCCGCGTACTGCGGAGCACGAGGAACTAATACTTGATTGAGCGTGTGGAATACTCTCGTTAGAGCGCGTGGGTTTGGAAAAAAACTCTATCCTCTTCGTTGGGAGTTTTGCTGTTGGCAGAGAATCCCGCATCATCAGACTCTGTAGCGTTTGCTCGTACTCTGGGATAAGATACGGCACCGTTTTTGGAACGGAAACTCAAAATTGGAAGACTCCAAAGCAACTTATTTGCTTTAATTATTAATAATAATAATAATAAAGAGAAATTATTAATGTGACAAAATATGCTGTCGTATTTGTAAATTTAATACCCTGATTTTTTCTTTTTTTTTTAATTTTACAGATATGACCATTATTTTTCTGGTATATCACTAATATGTCATTTTTGTATTATTCATAATCTATATTATACCTAATATTAAATATGTTACTGATAGAAATGACAAAAAACTTACGGGACCGGATCCCTGCTGATATTGTCCCGATCGAGTTGGGAAAATCTCGATTTGATCGGAGATAGGGTCACAATTAAACTGGGGATCCTAATCGAGGTCCCAGACGGGACGAGGCAGGGACGGCAAGGTCTCCCCGTCCCGTCGCCGCCCCGTTTAGTATTTTAACAATTTTTATATATAATAATTTTTATAAATACTTTTTATTATTTTTTATTAAAAAGCCCAAGCCCAATACTATTTATCCACTTTTTTTCTCTTACTATACCAGTAATAATAAAAAATAAATTTAAAAGATTAAAAATTAAAAGAAAATATACATATTTATAACAAGGACGAGTTCCTCGCAATGAACCCGCCCCGTCCCAGTCCCAAAAGTTTCGGAGACGGGAATGGGTATGGGGATAGCATCTCGGGCTCCGTTTGCCCCGTTGTCATCCGCTGATGTACTATTTTTGTATGATTCACATATATATATTATATAAGGTCATTGCTATGTTAAGAATCTCACATCAAAAAATCAAGAAATTTAACAATGTTGATAAATACTACTATTCTCATTGTCAATTAATTTTAAAATGAAACTATATGAATATTAAAATTGTTTCAGTATTCAATAAACTCAAATGAGGTTCGAGGACTTTGGTGAGCTCAAATGAGTCATCACATTGATGGGACATGTCAAGGCTCTCATATCCAAAAAATCAAGGAACTTGGTTTTGAGATGAAACTTAATGTTTTGTTTCTCGTTTTCTTTTTAATAAAAAAAAAAATAGAATTGCAAAGTTGATAACTGTTTTTGTTTTTTTGTTCTTTCTCTTTTATTGAAAAAATAAATAGATTTGTGATTAATGTTTAGTAACAATTTATTGTTTGTTATTGTTCTATAAAATTTTAAATTAAAAAAGATAAAAGATATTATTTCCAAAAGTATTTCTTAAAAATGAAAAATCACAAATCAGAAACACGAATAATTACTATACAAAAATTTAAAACGAAACGAGAAAAATGATAAAATCCCATTGAATAGGTAACAAAAGCAAAAATTTTCCAAAAGGAAAATAATGATAATAATAATAATAATAATGCAGAGTGTAACATTGAACCGTTGTCATGCTCTCATTTAAGGAAAAAGGGAGAGATAAACAAATACAAAGTAGGATATTAGATTTATGAGGCCCCAATTTTAAGAGGTTGAGGAATTTGAATATATCATGTGAAAATGACAAAAAAAAAAAGTCTCAAAATTGATCCATAAATATCTCAATCTTTAAATTAGGATTATAAATGATGTCAAAGTCAAAGGAGTATGGGATATGTCCGAGATATAGTACCTCAAGAATGTTTAAAGTTTTTTTTTTTTTTTTTTTTTTGGAAAAATGAATGTTTAAAGTTAAAACTTAAATATATTGATTAAACAAAACTAACATCAAAATTCCTTTTCCAAAAATCAAATCAAATGAATAGTGAGTATTGTGAAGAAACCCTTCCATTAGATAGAGCAAAAGAATTTACATGTCTTTTTAATCCCCCAACGGTTATAGGGGGTCCCACTCTAATATCACTTCACGATTCATGTTGACTGAGAGAGAATTTGGACATGGCGTATAGATATATCAAGATGCGAATAAGGTCCAATGTCAACGAGTAAAGAGAAAGATTCACATATATAAATAAAATATAATTATATCTTCAATCAATATGAAGTTTTTTTTCACGTGAAAGTTGAAGTAAGAAGAGTGCATCGCACGTGCTTATCACAAATTCATTTAAAAGAATGAGATGAAAGTCGGTTTTACTATCTCACTTTCTTTTTCTTAACCAAACCATGTGGTGCTTTCCAACATTGAATTGTTGATCAACTTTGAGAATAACTAGAGCCGACATTGATTTGCTAATTCTTGTAATAATTTATTCTTTTCCCTCAAGAGAGAAAAAAAAAAAAGAAGATAAATAAAGATAGAGAAGGAGAAGGCCATCACTTTCAATTTTCACTTTTCCAACTTCCATTGGACATTTTTTTCAAACTTACCATTAATTTTGAAAATGACTTCACATATTCAATCTAAGCAAATGGGCAGTAACCATTCTACATCCTCCAATTTATTTTATTTGTCAAATCGATAAGATATTTGTTTTTGATCTGTTGATGACGCTTTTCTTGTTGTTTTCTTTTTAAAAAGTGTACTTGTAGACAGTATTTTTTTTCAAAATATATTTAAATTTTAGCTACATTTTAAAAACATTAACCAAAAGAAAAATTATTGGTGCAAAACTAAAGATTATTACAATTGCTCCAGTTTATTACATTTGGATTTCTCTAAAGATTATTAAGAAATTAAATGCTACCACGTTCCCTTTTTTTTCTTACTTTAATAGCTCATGTAGTTTTTTTTTTTTTTCCTTTTTCCATATCTTTTAATTAGAAGTGTGTTTGACACAAATTTTCCCAGTGCCAAACAATATTTCTAACTAATTATGGAAACTTTTAAAATCTGCCTTGATGTTAACTTACCAACTAATAGTTGATTTGACATGACTTTTAAGGTGAATTTGGCATGGCTTTCTGAAAGAGGTGGGAAGAGTTTTAATTTAAAGTAGTTTCAAAATTTTTATGGTATTTGGTTATATAATCAAAATTTAATTTTAAAATTTCTAAAAAAAAAAGAATGTTTCAATAATATATTACTTTTAAAATTCATCTCAAACTTATTCATATATGAGTTTGAGATCACTCTTAGAAGAGTAAAAAGAGTATTTTTTTTGCTTATTACCAAGTATATTTTTCAAAATGTTCATAGTATTTGGGAGTGACGGTAGAATTAGTGATTTTGAAAAAAAAATTCTTTAAATATAATTGATTTTTCAAAATCACCATCCATAAAGTGATTTTAAACTTTCTTAAAATAAATTTTTTAATTTACGTTGAGAATTGATTTTTACAATAACTGACCATAATCACTCCCACATACACACCCTTGATTTGATTTGATAATCAAAAGTGATTTTGAAGATCCTAAAAGACACTTAAAAATAAAAACCACACTAAATCTTTTGACCACTCTATAAGCATCTCCTTGGCAATGTTAAACATCATTGAGAGTAAAAAGAAAAAGAACTTTTTTTTTTCCTTTAGCACAATAAGTCAGGTGTGTGAACGTGAGAGATTTGAATCTCCAACCTCTTTTTTTTCCATTGAAATATTTTCATGTTGACGTAAAAAAGAGATCAGAACTAGATCTTAAGTATCCCTATATTACATCAACCGTATCAATCGACGAGAATCAAATTATTAACTACAGAAATTTAAGGACCAAACAACAGAAGAAAAACGAGGCTAAAACATAACACATACAAGGAAGAAAAAAGAAAAAGAAAGAGAATAAGGATGGGTGGCAGTTTTAGGCAGTTGGGAGTAGTAGGTATAAAGTAAAAGTAGGATGGCATATATATGTGTTGGGAGTTGATATTGATATATATATATATATATATATATATATATATATATATGAGTTAGTTATTTAGATTACATAAATGAAAAAAAATAAAAATCTGATCTTTCCCATTTCCCCAATTACAAATTAGAGAGAAGAAAAAAAGCAAGGTACAAGTTATGGGAATGGGAGCACTTGCTGCCAACCAAATCTGATGCCTTTCCTTATCCTCTCTTATTTCACAAAACGTCTCAAACCTTCAACTACCCACTGCAAAAACTCTGTTCCTTTGTCCCCTCTTTTATGTCTTCTGATAAAAAGATACCTAAAGATCTTTTCAACCCTCCCCTTTTTCTTCCCTCTCAATATATATCTTATACCATATATTGTAATTATATAATATGCTTTTCCCATCAATCACTCTCCTTTCTCTATTTCTTTCCCCTCCTTCATGTGCTCTCGTCTGCTTTCGTCAAGTTTATGCACCTATTTGTGTTTACTGCGATGATGAAATTACGCTACCAGCTTCTTGATCTAAAACCCACTTTTTTTCGTGTTGCACTTGTGCAACTTTTTGTGTTTGCGTCATCGTCCTTCACCTAACTCGCAAATGAAATATACAACTGTACTGTTATGTGAAGTTAGGTTTCTGAAACTCGTTTAATGCATTCTTTTTAACTGGGAATCAAATGGATGTTTGTAATTGTCTCTTGGTATTCTGCCTTCGAGATTTTTAAATAGTTAAGCATGAAAAGAAATCGGATGAGAGGGACGAGTAGGATAGAGTTTGATTAATTTAATGATGGAGACAACTTATTAGACTCTCGAAAATTATTAGTTTTTATGTGTGATTAATGCGAGAAGTCACCTTGATGAAGACAAAAAGTAATCTCACAAGATTAGTTCTCCTTCACCAACAAGAAAACTTTCTTTGATGTGATTTTCAAATTGATGGTTTCAATACTCTAAATTTTAAAATTTAATAAAAGCATGAAGACACTCATGAAAATTAAAAGAATGTTGTTTTAAAATAAAAATAATCATATCTATTAATTACAAACATTTTTCTTTGAATAATCATGAATAACCTAACCAGTGGTTTATATGGTTAAAAACAAAATCATCATCAAACAACATTAAAATTGTCCACACCTTAAAAAATTCTAAATGATCTCGACCACAAAAGATCATTAACTAACTCTAATATTGATGGATTGAATTATACTTTCATTTATGTATTCTCACGTCGCTTATTTAAATTTCATTTATCCATCTCTAAAAGTTTTGATTCCTTCTTTATACTTTATTAATCTTAATAGTTTTAACAACTGAAATTAAAGTATAAAGTGCAAAATTAAGTCATCCAACTTGATGAGAACACATATCATGTTAGGACTTAGGAATTGATATACGTGTATGGGAGTTGAGTAAAGTGAAAAAAGGTTGACATGTAAGAGAGATAAAAAGAATAATAATAATTAAAAAAAAATTGTGATGTTATGGTTGGTCCGACCAAGAACTTCAATTTGGGGTGCTGTGATGGGTCATTTTCAGCGACCGACAGCAGCAAGATTTCGCAAAAAAGTTTGGTCACTTTCCAAACAGTGATTGATCTCTTAAATCAAATTGAGTAATTTTATTTTCCAAGCTTTCCATGCATGCAACTCTCTGATCCCAATAGTCTCCTCTAACTCTAAATTTTATTACACATACTCTCTCTCATCTCCCTCATTATTCTTCTCTCTCTTTTTATTTTTTACTTTTTCGGATCCGATATAGTGTGACTTACGCTATAGATCCAAATCGATATGTTGTCGTGAGGCGGCTTATGTTAGTGGGCCTTTTGAATTGGAATTCACTGCCTGGACTTAGCTACATTTTGACTAACTAGTCACAAAATCTCAATGTAGATAATACCAAGGGTCTATATCCTTGTCATTGGGTCAGGAGGCTTATCTCTCTTTTTGTAATTTTAATTTTCTTTTCTCCCTCCTAATTGAGTTGATTCTCCACCATGCATGGAAATTCAACTACTTTTCTTTGACTCTTTAACCTCCAAAGTTGAATCCCAACTTCCCCCCCTTTTTTTCCTTTTTTAATTTCTTCTCATACATAAAAACAAAAAGTTAATTAACACACTACCCCTTTTTTGCTTCCCCTTTTCTTTTACTTTTATGTCCGATCCATTAATTAATTGCAAGATGGGTGCCCCATTAGAAGCTTAATTAGCTTGATTTAGTTAATTAGTTAAATGGTCCCAGACTAGCAGCTGAATAAATAAAAGAATGCACTTTCAGGAGAAAAGAAAGAAAGAAAAAGATTCAAAAGCTAATTTGATATTCATTTCTCTCAATAAAAGCGAGAAGGAGGTATATTTTGGGTGTATTTCTATAACTTTATATAAATAAAAGAGGCTTTGCTAATGCAAGTCCTTTTATCATACATTTCAATTACATCCCTACATATAATAAAGGAACGTTTCTCTATTTCATGGAAAAATACACCCATTTTTTTTAGTTTCCCTTTTTTCTTGATCTAAGCGACCAAAAACCTAGAAAAGGGAAGATCAAAAACCCCATATAAAATAACATAGTAATATCATATTTTATATATATATATATATATATATATATATATATATCATTACCAAACCAACACCCTTCTTCTTATTCTTCCTCCCTATTGCATAATTAAGCTCCTAATTATGGCTGCCTCTGCACTATCAGCATCTATTGTAGACAACAGCTGAGAGAGTCTCTCACTTAGGTCATCAACCTCCCTGTGCAAGTTTCTAATGTAATTGCAGGTCTCTTGGAGGACTTTTGAAGCTGATACCTGAACCTCAAAAAAAAAGAGAGAACAAAAGAAAAAGAAAGACCCAAAACCCAATTAGTTTAATTAAATATTTTTAAGAAAGAAGAATAAAGTCAAATCTGAAATTAAACAGCAAGCAAACACTTGGTTGTACTTTTGCATTGATTGTTTTACCCATTTTTAGTGAAGTGGGTTTGATTTAATTATCATACTTAATGGGACCCCAACTAAAGTCCAAAACTGTACATCAATTACTTTAACTTAATCAGCGTAGGCACTGTTTGTTGTTAATGTTTAAAATTCTTAATTTGAGTAGACCAATGGAGTTTCTTTGGACCCGTACATTCCCAATCGGTGGCATGAATTAAGTATATAATGGAGTCAAATGTGAACCCCCCATCAAGACAATAAGAATCTTCAGCTTAAAGCAACAAAGACTTTATCTTTCTTTCCTCAAAAACAGAAAATAATAATAATAAAAAACCCTTGATATCCGGGTCAAGTTGGTAGTTTCGTAAAAATAAAGTCAATATCTGCCCTAGCACTTAAACTAAATGGAAAGTCGTTAAGGTGCTGTCCAAAATACTTGAAATGTATAGAAGTTAGAGGAAGATGACGAATGATACCTTGTCGGAGCGACGATGGCGAATCTCAGGTACGAGTTGACGAAGCTTAGAAACAAGTTCAATGATTTGGTCATCGCTGATTCTGGAGCCTCCGGACTGCCTGGACCTTCTACTAGACATGCTTAGTTTTGCCAATGGGACGAGAAATGGAGAAGGAGAGAAGAGAGCGAGTGAAGGGAGGGTGTAGGGAGGGTGTGTGTTATTGAAAGGAGGGGAAAGTGGGAGTGGGAAGTGGAGAAAGAGAGAGGGAGATGGTGCAGTTTGAGTTGGGAAGTAGTAGAGAGGCCAAGTTAGGTTTTAATTTGGAGAAGTGATAAGAGAGTTATAAAGAGGAGGACCACAGAGGAAACTAGTGGGCAGACGAAGGGAGAAGATAGAGGAGAGAGGAGAGAGGAGAGAGGAGAGAGAGGGTACAATAACATAGAAAGTGATGTTGGATATGAAGAAGACAAGTGAGGAGGGGGAGGGGAGGGGGCTTGGGATGGTGTTTTTTTAAAGGGAAGAGAGAGTAATAACAAGTGTGGTTGGTTTTTATGTTCCCAAGTTGGGGTTTAAACTCAAGTGGGCTTGGAGAAATGTGTTTGTATTTGTGTTAACAAAGTGGGCCTTTCCTGTGTATGTCTCAATCCACAACTCCATGTGATTCAAAGGACACTCCCCCATCCCCTCCTCTCCCACACACCAATCACGCCTCCCCACCTTTCTTTACCTTTTCTTTTTTACCCCTTTCACATGCCATTTCCGATTGGGTTTGTGAAAAGAGTATAAACAAAGTTCTACATTAGCTAGGGAACAGTATGGTCTATGGTTATATAGATGATGACAATTATTCTCATTGGTACGAGACTTTTTGAGTGAAACCAAAAACAAATTCATGAGGGTTATGTCCAAAACAGGCAATATCATACTATTGTAGAGCTATTTGGGGTACTTGGGGTACCGTTGTCCTTAACAATTGGTATTAGAATAACCACTGTAAGAAATCTAATTGTGTGGAAAGAATCCTTGGAGCCGAACAAGATCAATGGTTGATGAGCCTTATAGTCATTACAAAATTGTGGATGAGGGTGCAATAGTGGTTGGCACCAGGTTCCCACATTGTGATCCGTGGTTGAGAATTCTCGGATGCTGAACAAAGAAGTCTAGTAAGCCTCAGAAGATGTGGTCATGGTGTGATTCTTGATTGAACTCTATTATATGCAGACAGGTAGTGTGCTTCGGAGGAGAGAGGTTTACCTGGATAGGAGTTGGACGGATGAATGACTACCTGAGGGGAAGCTCGGTGGTACTTTGTTCGAGGGGAGAATTGTAGAAGGATGAATGACTATCCGAGCAAGCTACAGGTGGTACTTTATTCAAGGGTGGATTGTTAGGTTTATAAGGGTAATGCAAACAAAGTCCCACATTGACTAGGAAAGTGAGTAATACATGGCATATAAGAGTTGACAATTATCTTAATCGGTATGAGACCTTTTGGGTGAAGCCAAAAGTGATGTGAGTTATGCTTCAAATCGACAATATCATATAATTGTGGAGATACTTGGAAGTATTGTAATTGGGTACTTATTCTCCTTAACATTCCCTTCCTTGGTTCATAGTATGGGTTGGTCAAATATATATATATATATATACACTTTTTACTCTATGATCTTTTGTGAGAAATCATTTTGAGGGATCTCGAACAATGATGTGGTTGACGGTTTTATATCGATTGATGTATAATACCAAATGAATTTTAAAACTAAAGTTCGACTTTGACTATGCATCTTGTAATCGATTCAACTACAAATACAACATAATAAAAGTTAATTAATATTTTCTTCAAGTTTCATAAGGCTAATCTCAAATAATTTTATTAACAATTACTACAAAATAAAATTACATAATGTATATAAAGAAAATAAAGTTGTAGACCAATATTTATCAAGAGCTATCAAATGACATATACTATTCATATACACAAGAATTAGTCAATTAAAATTAATTAATTAAGCAAACAAACTACTATTCATGTGTTAAAATTTTATATTTTCCACAACACATCAAATGATCTCTATTATGCTATTTAACAAAATATACAAGTTAAAGAATAAGTTAGAATGGATTAAAACCAACCTCATGCCTCAATTATTTCACAATTAATCACATTAACGAGACTAAAAGTGACTTAATTTCACAATATTGGGATTCATCAACGAAAATGAGAATAAAAGATGTCAAAGAAGCAAGGTAACAACCGCGGGTGACAGGCAATGAGAAGAAAGGAGTTGGGGGCTTTTTTGAAAAAAAAAAAGAGTGTCGAGATTGATGAATTTTTTCAATAAACAAAAATTTCGTTTCGAAAAGTCAACAATGTCAATTTCTCAACAAAATAATCTTCGTCCACTTCAATAAAAATTATCGTGGTGCATGGATAAGAAACTTTTTAGTCCAATATGGCATGGATATAGAAATTTAACCTCCAACCTTTTAATTCCAAACATATATCTTAATCAGATCACTATACTTAGATTAGTCCCGATCACTTCTTAAAACTAATAGAGAATCTTTCTCTATTAAATAATAAATTCCCTTTGAAAACGAAAACCTTCCAATTAATACGAGAGAGTTCTATAACAAATTACGTATATTTCTCCTAGAATGTTATTCCTTTAAAACGTCTCAAACAGGACGTTATTATAATAGAATATAATTATTGCAATGGAACATTATTTTTTTTTCATGTAATTTATGAAAAATAATTGAAAATATTCGTATTACATTTAGTACTCCCTGTAAATTTGAATATGGCCAACGTACCTGCTCTCAAGTGATAAACACATTTATATATTTTCGAGCAAAAAATAGTGAATTTGAATCTCTATCTCAATCCTTTCCTAATAATTTTTGTTTTGAACATTAAACATGGTTACTTGCAATTTTCTTTTATTATTTCAAATTTTCATCTATTTAAAATCACTTTTAGCTCCCAACCAAATTATAAAAATGAAATTAGGTTATATTGGATAACATTTAAAATCTTACTCAAATTTTGAAAACTATCAAATTTAGTTTTTAAAAATCTTTTTATTTATGTATTTAAAGTTTGGTTAAGATTTCACAGAGTAAAGAATTAAATAGAATAAATAAATAAAAACCATAGATATAAATAATTCTTATAAGTTCATTTTTCAAAGCAAAAACAAAACTATTATCTAATAGAGTTAATTAGTATTCAAATATTGGTTAGAATATAGAAATAAAATAATAAGTAAATCAACTAATTTTTGGAAACGAAATGTCGTCAACCAGGCTTGATTAATCAGTATTTTTATTTTTTGTTTTTATTATTATTTTTTCTGTCTACCATCATGTTAGTTAAAAGACAATATTAGGCGTAGCTCGTGACTTAGCTGAGCACTTAGACTTTTTGTTGAGAGCTACACTACCTACTTAGACTGAATTTTTTTTTATTTATTTCCCTTTTGGTGAGTTTTTTTAACCACATTTTTTCTGTTTCTTTTTTTTTTAAAAAAAATGGTTTTTATTTATCTAAAAGAAACAAAATTTTGTCCAAAATCTTTCGTTTATTGTTTCTTGTTTAATTGTCAACATTTCTTTTCATTTACTATTGCTCATGTGACCATAAAATGAGGTGCAAACATTTGACATCGCTCCCCCCTAAATCTTAGTTAAATAACTAGAGATTTAAAAACAAACAAGAAGAAGAATTAAAATCAATATTTAATAAACGAAAAAGTGTTCGGAGTAAGATTTTAAATAACAATATTGATAGAAATGCCGAGATCTCATTCTTATGAAAATTCAAAGAAATCATCAATAAAATTAAAAACATTAAAAATATATAAATTAACAAATAAGCACCTAACTCTTTTAAGATAAAGTCAAGAACTATTAATATTGATATTTTTATATATATACATATATTTTCTTTTGTGATATTATTTAGATGATTTATCTCTCATGTCGATTTCGGATGTTTGCGATGCAAGAGTTGAGAAGAGTGAGGGAGACCTGAGTAGTTGGTGTGAGATAGAGAGAGGATAGATTTGCATTAGATTGTGAAAGGGCAAAGTCACATGCAATTTCTGGAGAGCAGACGACATGCCACGTGGCGCAGGACTTAGGTTCCAGTACATTTTTGCAAGGGAACACATTTCTAAAACAGGCATAGATGTGAAATTTCCATACTTTTCTCTAGCATTCTCACGTGCCTCTCACCCTCCCCTCATTAAGTTTGTTGGTATGACTAAAACCAAATTTATAATTTTGCCAACAACCAGCAACTTGTTCTTTTGTAAGGGCACCCACATTTTTCCTCCCCACCCTAAAATTTCTCATATTTAATACAGTTTAAACATTAAGTCTCAATCATAGCTTAGTAGTAATTAGTATATATCTCTAATTAAGAGGTCATGCGTTCGATTTCCACTTCATGTTATACTAAAAAAACATTAAGCTTTAAGGTCTAATTATACGGTCAGTCTTTCCTTGAAATTTTTTAAGTTAATAATAATGCATGATGACTTTTAATGCACACTACTTTGTACTAAAGTTTGACAGTTTTTTTAGTTTTTTTTTCTCCCTTCATTTATTTATTTATATATATTTTTATGGTTTTATTTGTGAAGGGAAGCCAGACATGAGTGATGCAAGAGAGACTTGTAGGCCAATGGGGAACTCTATCTTTTTAATTAATGAATGGAAAATTTTTCACTTTTGAATTAATGGTGTGAGAATGAGAGGGTAAAGTAGAAGCAAGCAAAAGCAAACCATGTTGTCCTAATTGTTAATTGGTTATTGGAGGGCCATGGTAGAATATATATGACATAGGGTTCTATCAAAATCATCATTTATTTCATGTCTAACCAAATTTAATATGCATGTTATAATATTATATATATATATATATATATATATATATATATATATATATATATATATATATTGTATGAGTTATCCAATTTGCATACTTCATCTTTATCTCCATGGTTGAGTAATATCCTCTTACTTAATTGAATTTTATTTATATTGAAATGTTGTGGATTATATTGCATGAATTGTATTATAAGTTTGAATATAATTATTACCTTAAACTTACCATTTCTTAGAGAATAAAAGATCAATACTTCTTGATTCTACTGTGACATATCAAACAGGTCCACCCATCTCAATAAGATTAAATTAAAAATGTTTAAAATATTATTTTGGTCTTTCTATAGGTTATTCATTTTTTTTTTTTCATATAAAGTTTAAAAAGTTCAGTTTTAGTTCTTCAATTTAAAAGTCTTTA